TCGGTTAATTAACTCGTGCTCAATTTGTACCGGTGTTCAGTAGACCAGAGAGTTAATGTACTCTTATGTCTTATGTATCTTACATAGGTATGGATGTTGCCCATAATTCAAAGTATTTTTTTTTCGAAATGGTTATGTGTTTCAAAAGACTGCCAATCAAACATAGGACCGTTTCAACTTACTAAAAAAGTTGAAATTAAATTTGCAACTGTTAGTATCTTCGAGAAATTTCCCAAACATATTTTCAACATTTTTCTCGTACTCTCCAAGGGAGCCCCTATAACCCCTTAAAAGTAATAACGCCAATTTTGAATCACTGTATATGTGCGAAATGTGATCCAACGTTTGTAAGAGKGTGAAATGCACTAGGACAATTTTACCATTTATCTAAATTGCTTTCGTGTACTTGCCGTGGTATGACAAATTGTGTTCATTGTTTTCTCTTGACTTAATTAACTTTACTGGCTTAAATGGGGATTCTCAACTACAAACAACACAAATAATTAATACGAGTTATGTTGCTAGGTCTATAAACATAGAACGGCATTATTTGCGAAGCAGTTCTAGACCACACGTACCAAAATATTGGCGGCGAGTACTTGGTGTCTCTATTTTTGCAGATTTCAGGGTTGAAAAGTCCAAGCAAAGAATATTTAAATGAGAAATGACAAATAAGTAAAATAAATGAACACGTTTTGAAGTGATAACGTAATAGCAGAACATGCAGTATATATGTGGCTACTGAAAAGGGAGGCTACTTTCTGGGGAATTACTGTCGGTGTTTGCACAAAAGTAATTTAAAATGTTAAGCCTTGTTTTACTTGCTCTGAATGAAGACTTGTGGAAGGAATCTTTATGAAATGAGAAATGTGGCTGTTGTTATAAGGCGTGTTTGTTCTTACTACTCTAAAGGATTCAATCAGTTGGAGTGGGTGTACTATGATTTTGCTGAGATTTATCGGTAAATAGTGGAAATGGGTCAAAAAGCATTAGTTATTCCGAATATTTTCGTCTTCAAAGCACTTTTGTACGACCTACATATATTCTCTTTGGAATTTCAGAAGGAAATTTCCGATATTTATATTTAAGCAGAATAGTTGTTAAAGCTGTTTTCAAACATTATCATTCGATCATAAATTATTATTATTCGAGGTTTTTAGTTTCACATGGAAATTATACATTGTATTAGCATGGTTTCAAAAATGACGTAATAAAAAAAATTAGTCAGGTATTTTCAACGTACTATTATGTATCCATTTGCAATGCATTGATTAATAATCCTGGTATTAAAACAATTTCAAACATTATTAAAACTTTCATAGCAAATTTAATACCTACCATACATCGCGAACTACTATTTGCCGGATGAGTTATTTACAGTTACATGATTTTCAAAGTAAACGTTATTTGAGTGTTCGCGTACTTTTAGACGGCTGCTTTTCTGGCTTGAACTAGTAAATTTATTTAATTATGCATGGTGGCCTTTGAAACAAAACAGACCCAGTTTTGAGCATCTAAGGAAATTATGAAAAAACCTTGGGAGACGTTAACTTTATTTTAGAGGGGAACACATTTTTGGTGAATTAAACTGACCCTATCTGCAACTTCTTATGCAGGAGTGTGTTCAACGATAAATCGTAAATAAAAAAGGGGATTGAGTTGAAATGTCTTCCTGAACATTTCCTGTTTTTCCAAATCTACCCAATAAACTTTTGAATGCTTCAACTCAACAACGTTTTGAATGTTTTTTTGCAGCATTTGGATATCTGGATATCTTGGATATTTGGATATGGCTATAATTAATTATTAATTTAAAAAAATTATCATTGTCCGACGATAAAAACCATGTTAGCCTTTTGCTGAGTAGTCAGTTTAATGGTTACCGAAGAAAATTATCTATTCGATTTGTTCGGTCATGTGAGACTTAATGCTTTATCTGTCAAGTGCATTAATTTGTTTGAAGGAGTTAATACCTGAAAAAGCTTGAATTTACAATCTATTTACTCAAAAACGTGTGATTCTAAGTTTAGACAATTTAGCATTTTCTGGGAGCCTGTTGAAAAGCCTTCAAGATACTATAATAATTTATGGGATTATCCATTAAAAAATTAAATTAGTTATATTGATGGAAAACTTGAACTTCCTGTATTATTTGAAAGGTCTCACGCCATATTCCTGTACCCACAGAAAAATGATATTAGAGGAGTGGTCCGGTTTTTCGCTTCGACATAATGAAGTGCTGTTCCATCCATTCCATGCTTATAAACATCCGTGGCAGTTTAGACTAGGACGGCCGTTTAGAAGCACCCTCTGAAACGAAAAGTATTTTAATGGATGGCCACTATTGATGCTAATATAAAATAAATTGAGAATTACACACCAGTTAGCCATAATGTCGCGCTCTGTCTTTGCTGCACCACCATGTACTGAAATTCTAAGTTAAAATGTTGCTCTATAAATATATACCTACAGCTACAGCTATCGAACTAGCAAAATGGAATATTGTATTCGTGATTCCGCTACGTCAATTTAAACTTCATCACTTCTGAAATCTCACAAACGATTTTCTACTTTTAATATTGCTGATCAACATGTCCGTTTTGCAAATTTCAACAAATTCCTGATTTGCACATTAAAAACGTTTGGCAAATTGTTATGTTTGCACAAAATATCACAACACCGAGACAGCGTAATAACATCGGGCATCCGCAAACAAACCAATTTATTTCAGTATATTCCACATATCTGGATTTATTCAAATATTAGATTTGTCGAGAAGCCTAATATTTTAGGCGCTAAACTGTTTGTGGATTTACGATGATAACCGAATTGATGTCAAAACGCTTAACCTGTTTAAAGTTTAATATTGCAGCTTGTATATCAACGTAGATAAACGGTTCCCCTTATTTTAATGAGGCAAAGTCCCTTGGCGGGTTTCACGCCCTTAAACCACATCTTATAGAGGAGAGGTGCTCTCTAAGGTGGATCTGAATTTTTTATGGATTCATGTGAATAATAAATACACTAATCCTTTTGACTTTTAAAATAGACTCTTCTGTTAAAACTACTGTTCTGGTAGCTTGGCTATTGCCTAGTCAGACGTAATTATAACAAAATCCTTTCATTAGTTAGAGAAGTTTTGCAATATGTCTTTATGCATCATTTTGCCTTTTTTGGCTAAGGTCTTTAAATCGAGAAAATAACGTCAGAAATTTCAATAGACATTTTGTTAAAACTTCCTCATTCTAAACTGATTTTTTAAACGTTAAAACTACTGTTTGTGATATGGAAAACTACTCATAAAGATCCGCAAACAGAGGTTCAACTTTTTGATGAACAATTGCCCTAAATCCGCTATACAATACACTGTGGGATTACAAAAATCTGTTATTAATGTTCTGTTAGTTTTTCAAAAGAAAATAATAATAAAAACTTAAAGAAATTCGAATAATTGGTAGCAAGTGAAATATTTACAAGAATAGAAACTGAAGCAATCGAGAGCGTTCTGCCATAAGTACAGTTTACAACTCAAAGAAGGCGTCAAGTAAACTGTTCAAAACAGCCAACAAACGCCACAAATTCTCGATTGTCTTTAATATCCTTTACTGAGAAGCGTTGGAGGTAAATAGTTTTGCAATAGGTAATACTAACTCTAATTAGTTTTCTACATATTTAATATAGGGAAAGATAATCAGTATAACATTTATGTCACAATGTATGTTTTTAGAAATTGAAATAAAGACGTACACATGCATCCTTGGTTAGAAAACACAGCTATTTTCAATTGTAACTTCTTTAATTTTGAAACCGTTACTTTCAACGCGTTTGCACACCAACAAAGGGAAACTTAAAACTAGTCTACAAATGAGAGTTCTCTAAGCTATTGTGGATAAGCGGATAATTCGAGCTTGGATAGTAACTGTATTTGTGTACTGTGTGCAGTCTAGACTATTACGCTTTAAAAATATCAGATATCTTAATAGTGGTTTTTCCACCATCCAAAAAAGAATCATGAAATGATAAAAATTAAACATTGCTGCTAGGAACAAGTTATAGTTTGTTATAACTAGACATACTTAGTGAGTTTTGTCATGCATCCAATATTTCCTACGTTCTCCTAGTTTAGCAGCAAACTATATCTTAAAACTATTTGAAGAAACTTAAATGAAGCATAAAACCGAAGATTATGAGAACCATTCCTAGCCGCCTTTTACACTAAAAAAGTGTTTGTGTCAAATTTCCTAGTGTTTTATAAACATCATCTTGATTTAGAAAACAATTTAATTCAAAATATAGATGGAACCTTATCGATTTGGTTCTTGGGTCCAATTCTCATACTTTAAAAAAATAACCTTAGGAACACACAGTCAAAGTCGAAATATTTTTACGACTACAAAGAGTTCGGCAAATATGTGATATTATGCAAAGAACAACAATTTATTTAACAAAACGTTCTTAATTATTCATTAATTCATTAAACTTTATATTACTTTCGGACTTTAATTTTATTGTTTCACACATAAAGGTAACCCATTTTCGAATTAAATTTATATAGGCTTTACGTTACTGAATACAGGATAAGTAATAATACAGGATAAGTAATAATACAGAATAAGTAATAATACAGGATAAGTAATTAGCAGTTGTGTACAAGTTTTCAGTAAAATAATTCGTTCGGATCATAATCAGCAAGTTTCAGATGCTGATGTGGATTTGGAAAAGAGCTCGAAACCCGGGAACAAAACGAAGATTCCTTAAAAGTGCATGAAGCCAATATTTATAGTGTTAAAAATGAACAAAAATAATAGTTTGGATGATTCATTGCGTTCATATTTAAAATGTATACAATAATTGTTTTCCGGATTTACCAAAATATTTAATACATATACATTCTGATTTACCACAAGGATAATTGTTTACTGCTATAGTATCATAAAAACGAGTTTAGAGTAAATAAACACGATCACTTATCATTGGGTGCTGGCTGTGTGTCGAATTTGTATCTCAATGGCAACGGGACGGGCGATGGGTTGTATTAAAAGAAACTAGATTTAAAAGACATTCGAACGGTTTTAGTGCGACAGTGTTATTTAAAGATATTACAATGTCGACTGCAAGTTGACTTAGTAATTTCATATGAAACTGCGGGACACTTTAATGTCTACATGTAACATCGCAGCTGGGAATATAACCATACACGCGTTGGAACCAAGTAAGCAGGATTTTAAACTGTTTATTCTCCACGATTTTGATGTTGCAGTGTTTGAAATATGTTTATATAAGGAAATGTTAGAAACAGGAATTTTGGTTGTAAGTTCTTTAAGAGAGTAGAAAGAACGATGCGGTCGGGCTGTACAGGGCATTCCTAAGTACGTGACAACATCTCGAGGGGATTCAGGAGCGGTCAAAATAATTCGATTTGTTCATATAATTTTTTTTTGTTAACGTCTCCCAGTGGAGATATCGGGCCTCTAAAAATGTTCATATATTTTTCAATATCCAATAACTTGCACAGTGTCTTAAATTCCTGTTTCTGTTTCAACAGTTATTTTTCTTTAACTTTTTCTTGGTTGCCTTTTGGGTATTTTTAACCTATTTTTAGAGGTTGAATTCGGTAAAATTTCTATGTGATTTTATGGTGGGTTTGTAAATTTATCTTTGAGCTGCGGATTTTGGTTGTTTATAATCGCATTCCCGGTCGCATTTTTACAATTTAGGCTTGTTTCTAGTCCTTCTAGTCCTCAGTGTGTCAAGGCAACAATTATGCGTAATAGGAAGGAAATATTACGCATTTTCCAAATAGGACCGTCGCGTAAACTCTTTAATTGCAAGTAGGAAATTAAAAAGCCATATTTAAAGTGTGCACAAACATTTCGCTTAATAATTTGTCGGCCGGTTGACAAAAATACGATAAGATGAAAATAAAAAAATGCAAGCTATAGTAAAGGCCAAACAGGTCTTACCCGTCAAATCAATGTCAAAACAGTAGACCCAGGGGGGCTGAAACAGTTGAGTTCTCTCCTTCTTCTGTTCTGTATTTTCGCCAAAGTGTTTCCATATTTTTCACTTACACAGTTGTCAAACCTTAGTTAAGGTGGAAATTTCACTACCGCAAAAAGGGTACAAAAGTCGTTCCTGCTTAAATCTGTATAAAGCATCTTTCATTACCTTTCTTTGAATCAATACTATCACTTAAATCTTTAAAATATCTATCTCGATTTTGCCCAATAACAGAAACTCTGGTGATTGTATCATTCCCCATATTAGGTATAAAATACTCGTCGTTATATTTTTGTAAGTTTCTTCCCAATCTCAGATGACGCCTCCACTTGATTTCATTGTTTATCTGGAGGCTGGTCACAGATTCCTGTTGCTTATTGGTTTGGCACGTTTTAATTTCACGAAAGCTTTATTCATTTACATTTTTTTAGTTGTAATATATATATGGATATTGTTTCAAATTTCAACAAAAGTAATCCGTTTTAAAAGGTGGATGGTTGAACGCTTTTGTGAAAAGGCACTAATCACAGAACGTCGTGATGTTTTTGCATTTTTCCTAAAATGCTAATGCAAACGCTTTTAACTACTTAAATAAATACTCATTAAAAGCATAGCCCAGCTTTATTGGCCTGTAAGCCTTATTGGTTATCGCCTGTGAAGTAGCTCTTCACTAATAATCAATAATATTTTAGGAATAGCCGTAGACATTTTTTAGTAGTGGAAAATAATTAATTTTCCATTAATTTTACTTCGGAAAATATTGACATTCAAGGAATTAAATGGACACGTAATTTTAAAGACATTACTCTGAATTATTAAGGATGTATTTATTTAGATATTAATGTTGTTGAATTATGGCACAATGCAAATCTAAAAATAAAATATTCTTGGCATTGTCTGTTGTATAATTTGTTCGACTTAATTTCTGATTTCAAATCAAGTCTTATGTAGTTACTTCTGAAATTGAAATCAATAATCTAAAATTCAAATAGAAACGACTCCGATAGTGATAGGCACTATTGAAACATTCAAATTAGTATAACTTTTTGTTTTTCGATCAGTTATTTAATTTTAGCTCTATTCAAGTTAATACTGTCAAGTTTTTCAGGTGCCGGCTTTTGCATGTTATTTCAAATTTAAATTACTCTTTTAAGCAGGGATTTAGCGTTGAAAGGCACAGGCAACCTAATTTTCAGATGGTTCAATAAGACGCAGCCATTCATATATTTTTCAATAGAAGAAACTGATATGTTTAATAATAAATCAGAAAAATTATTAAATGAAACCATTTTTCATTAATTAAAAATTTGCTAGGGAATTACTGAAGAATAACTCTGCCATAAACTTGGTTCACGATAATGAAGTCGAATAAATGAAAGAAAATATTTGTCTACATCCAAAAACTTGGTTTTTGAACCAATCCCTTAGTGTAGCTGCAGGCTACGCACGAAAATAAAAAAAACGCTTATTTTCTCGGTTCAATATTTACATTGTGTTCATAAAATTTGATTAAGGGAATATTTATTGAAATAATGTTTTGTGAACATACACTTCAAAACGCGTATTTGTTAGCGGTGGAGTTTCGTAAATAAAAATAATAGAGCACACTTTATTATACATGTTCTTTCTTTCTTTTTGAGCACGGGAATAATGTAACAATGGCTTGTGCTTTTGATCTTCAAATGTTCTTCAGGTACTATCTAAGTATTTAGACTCGCAGTTTTAAGTGCTAAATGTTCAAATTTTAACGTCAATATTCCTGCAAAGACGTTTTCTTAGCGGTGTCTTAGGAAAAACATATAAACTTATGTCGTAAAATTATCCTTACGTACTTTTGGCAACGGTTTGGAGATCAATTTCGGTGCAACTTCGAATTTGCGGGGTTTATCAGAGGCCGGATACTTGTCTTCATCAACGTTATTGAAATTTCATACAATTAAATTAACCTGGCTCTGGATTGATAGATAAAGTTTGAACACTTATAAAGCAGACCGAAATTCCTTGCACATATCGAACATGTATGTTAATTAAAATTGAATTCAATCCTGGCTCTATGACTCGCACTGAAGTTTAAATAATTAACTGTAAAGTAATACTAAAGTGATAAGTTCTTGTTACCTTTGCAAGCCATTTATTTTATAGGATACCAGGAATTTAATAATTTGGAAAAACGTGGAAATGTGTTAATAATGAAAGCAAGAGAAACCATACTTCCAAGCAGTTTCGAGTTTTGACCACAAAGCATAATAACAAAGGAATTTTTGAAGACATAGGTTTCCTTGAGTCATGTTGTCCGAAAAAGTTTTCATAAATATCTAATATTAAAATCAAACAGTAGCTAAACTCTCTGTGCCCTAAAAGTGCATGCCCCTTCCATCTGTTACCTATTTTGCTTATTTGAGCAAAGTTTTTCATATCCGGCTTAATTCGAATAATAATTAACATTATTTCTTCATATGAAGTTGTGTTATTCTAACAACTTGCCGCACCTTAAGAATTAATGTCCAATAAGACGAATGTGCTCCAAAGATGTAATGAAATTTAAGGTGTTCTGGATAATAATTAGTAATAAAATCTTAGTAATATTTCTGTCGTTTAAGTTTTGTTGGAATTAATGAAAAATATAATTATTATTTATGAAAATACAATCAATTTGTTAATTCTTTCTTCTTAATTAATATAGCCACTTTGCACAGACCGCCAGCCAGCTGTTCAATATGTTGCAACTAAAGTATGGTTGAAAATATATAATTTTAAGTACATTGTGTTACGTCGCTCTATTAGTGGAATGGAAGTCTGTAAGGCTAATAAAAGTATTATTATTATTTCCCACACAGCGTTTGTCTAGATAACTATTTCAATACATAAACTGTGGGTTCTTGAGCATGAACTTTGTGTGACGTTAACATGCTGAAACGACGTCTGGCTGATACAAGCATGCAATAAAAGTCTTCATCTATACAAGTTACAATTTCATTTTTGATATTTTAGAAAAGAAGCAAGTAGGTTGTTTTCGATATAAAATGAGCTCTTGCCGAGAGACATATCATTTAATAAAATAAGAATTTTTCACTATTACAATAGTGAAATTGCAATTGCAACTTTATTCAATTTTGAAGTAATGGCTGCATTATTAAATGCATTTTAAAACTATTTATACAAATCCTACTGTTTGTGAACTTCCAGTAATCCGAAAACAACGCACCTTTAAAATAAAGAAAATTTTCTCTTTTAGATTATACTATTGACTCTCTTTTCTTATTGATAAATTGCCTATTAAAATAGTTGCAGATAATTCCGCGAAACAAAAATATCTTGAGATATTTCACCACGTTTACCTAAATAAAACTACATTATATGAATGGTTTTTCTCGATATTTTTACCCCTTTGGAGCAAAAATTTTCTTTGGCAAGCGATCAACGTGTTAATTCCGTTTAAAACTCTCACATGCCCTTATTCTTGCCAATAAGTTTAGGTGTAAACTATTTTAATTGGGAATATTAATAATTTATTGTTTTTACCACTTTTAAATATTTAATGTGAGTTTCGTTATTAAGAGACTGACATTTTATCGCGTTTTCAATAAATTATGCTCAACTTTTCAATTCAAATTTTGCTAAATATTAATGCTAAAAAGGTTTAAATATGGCTGAAATTTAAGCAGGCAGCCAGCCTATGGTTAAGGATATCATCAATATGCATCGTCCCATGCGAATTGAATTACGTGCAATACATCACAAAGGACTGAGGCTTGACAAGAAAATCAGTACATAATAGTTTGGTCAAAATAATTAATAAGTACTTGGTAGTAGGCCTTACGTGCCATTTGTGTCATCAAAGTGCTGCAGAATAATTTATAGGACGTCGAGAGCCTTTAATTCCGACAAAAAAGTTTAGATTTCCCGTATAAAATTTTCATAATAAACACGGAAGTTTGCTGGATGTTAACACATAGAAATAAGAATTAAATTACGCGGTTTTCATTTCTATCTCGGAAATGCAATGTCGTTTAGAGTGGTCAGTTTTAAAGTAATAAAACTTAGAATTACTTTGGGATGATGCTCTATTATTACGTGACGTTCCGTTGACTAAATTGTTTCGTGAAATGTTCCATTCTATTCCTTTCTTAAGGGCTTATTAATTTCCGCTCAGCTCTCGCCTCACATGGTTATAGCACATTCACAGAAATAACACTTTGGAAATATAAGATA